CGCACCCGCCCCCGGCCTGCTCGAGCCCCCGCCCCCTCCCCCGCTTCGTATCCTCGATCCTATAACACACATTCACTTCAACAATAGGATAAAAAATTATATGAAATACAATTCCTGGCAGCTATGAAAAAATAACAGAAAGTTGTAATAAAATATAGTAAATTATTATAATATTAATATCAGATAAACTCAATGTCATTTACTAACTCGAGTGGTAAAAATTATTAAGACGTTTAAGAATTTAAAAATATTGAATTTCTTCAATTACAATAAAATTAGTTATTAAATAACGCCAACAACGGAGACGACAATGGAGTACAAGGAGCAACACTTGTGTAAAATATAAATATCGACACACACATCTAAATAGCAATAGACAAATAGGGGTATATGTTACCTTGACCATAGACTAAATTAGAGATAATTCAAAACAATGAATTGGTTCCATTTGATGGAGATTGTGTATATTAGGAGAAACAACCATATCGGTACAATAAGTAGATATCACAGTGAATACCCACAAAGAAGAAAGTGAAAAACGCGACACTTAGTCATAGACAAACAATGCATAGGACAATGGAGGTGACTAGACAATACAGAGAGCCCATAGACAAACATAAGGGCAGTATTATGAGCACCGACCGTGCGGGTGCAGGGGGCGCAGCTCGCGCTGCTCACCTGGCTCGCTGGTGGCGCCCCCCGAGGCTCCACCCGAACCCACTGGCGCTGCTAAGCAGTACATCACAGTAGCTGAAACAAACATTAATTAAAATTACACATATTTAAAAAACATTTAAATTTCATATTATTTCTGTAACTTATACTTACATGAATAAATAAGTGCTGGAAATATTGGTTCATTTCTTTCTTGAGCAGTCTCAACTAATATCCTTAATGGTCCTTTTGGAGTTAATACGGCTACTAAATCTGAAAGAATAGATGAAAATGCCAAGTTTTTTTTGCTTATTAATTTAATAAAATAAATGAGTTACTTTCTACTTATTATTAAGAATAGTATATTTTGAAAGTGTTGCTATATTTTGGAAAAAAATATATAAATATAAATGTTCATAAAATCTTACCCCAAATAGAAATAACAGCTAGGACAGCCCATGTTGTCCATTCTGGTAAGTATTTAATAAATACAAGAGCCATCAAAGCTGCTATAAATATGAGATAAGCTTGTTGAAGTCTCAAAGGACCCTTCCAGTGTATGACTATCATACCCATCACACCAAAATTCCACATAACAAAAGCTAAAGTTATGAAATCCATTGGTATGTTATAAGCTCGCAATGCTTCCCTGTAAGAAAAGACAAAGTAAAAACAAAATATATATATATATATAATATGAAAATCCAGATACAAGACTTATTATGACTGTATTTATGTATTTACTTATTTAATACAAGACTCTAACACTAAAATCTCTGTTTAAAACATATTGTCAACCCTGTCTTTTCATCTTTGACGAAACAGAGTTAGCAATATGTTTAAAGCCAACATTTTGGACTAAGAAACCCACAGATACTTTTCATGCCATTTAGATTTTTTGTATAAAAAGATGTTGACAGATGAATTAATGTATAAATGTGTTTAAGTAGAGGAATATCATAATATACTAGCTGTCGCCCGCGCCTTCGTCCATGCTGAATTAAAAAAAATAAAATAATAAGTAGCCTATATGTTCTTCCAGACTATGTTCTATAAATATACCAAATTTCCTTGAGATCTGTTCAGCCGTTCTGGAGATCCCTTAAAACAAGCATCCATCCATCCATCCAAACATTCTCATTTATAATATTAGTATGATAGTGTATATGTTACTCACTCCATGTACAAATATGAGAATAAAAACAGCAACATAAGAGAGGACAGGATGAGCCACCCATGTATGATCTTGTAACATCTCTTCTTATATAAAACAATGAGCAAGACAGTCATAAGCGCTATCACACTGAGCAATATCATTGAGTTTGCTAATGCATTCCATACTTTTGTCACTGCATATGGACTCTCTTCGTGAAATGGTGTATAAGCCCTGAAAATAAGTAATTGTTAAAAAAGGCTTCCTATAATATAAAAGAATGCAACATTTTGTATTGGCTATGTTATGCATGGATAAGATAGCATTCTAATGGTAAGACAATTTTTAAAATAGATCTATAGGTTTACAAGTTTTTTTCTACAAATATAAAAAATTCTTTAACCAAAATAGGGTTGTGATATAAAATTTAGACTAAGGAGCACTCTTAGTTACCGTTAATAAAAAAATTGTCTGACAGTAAATTACTTATACTTACAAGTAAACATCTTTGACAGAATAGAAGTTGATTGAGGATATAGTTGCGACTACTACCAGCATACAGAGAGTCACAGGCACAAACAGCTTGATAACATGCCGTGCCCCATACTTCAGCTCCAGCTCCTCAACTTGTGACTCTGCCTGCACTCCCGGGTTGTTGTTACTTGGCCCTGGATTCCTATGATCACCTGACCCACCCCCTTCTCTTGGCTCCACACTCTGAAAGGGATAGTACACATTTACAGCTAATTTCTATGTATATATTTTCTAGACAGTAAATTACATATTGATGCATGAAGGGTTATGGCTACTACAAACATATCAATTATCAATTCTTGGTATAAAGTGTAACAATTATCCACATGTATTAAAATAATTGACAACATTTAATTTGTTTAGCAGCATAAAGAGTTGGTGAATTCATTCCATCATATGCTTAAACATGATAATTTATATAGCACAGTATTAAATTGAATACAATTTCACACACCCACACATTCCATGTAAAGATAACATTTATATAGCATAGCACTAAATTATCTCCTGAATGATAAATCATTCAATTGCAACTACATACTATTATGAGATTAATAGCTTCAATGCAGCAAATTCCGTGTCAATAAAATAATTTATGTAAATTTTTACTACCATGTGAAGGATTTTGAATAATATAGTGCATTACACAAATATAGCATCTGTGATAGCAATTTTAGAGTTTTATATTTACTAAAACTATATTTTAATTTGCAAATTAACTTTTCTTATTCATAACAGTATAATCTTAACTAATAATGCGCCCAATATGATTCATTGTCAACAAGCAGGATATGGTCTTAAAGATTACCACCTACACCATAGTTTCGCTGGCTATCAGACTTGGTTTTTCTTTTCCTTGCAATGCGTTCAGCTATCTCCTTGTCAGGACGGGCTTCAGCTATGTGGCCATCCATGAGTGCTGTATGCTCGGTTGCTGACGCCTCTGAATCACTACTAGTGTCACTCATTAATGTAAAATTAAAGTCTTGGACATTATGTTGAAAAACTTTTGTAAGAAGGTCATTAATATTTATTAATTTCAAGAGAAACGACTATTGTTGCTACTTTTCGTTAACAATATCACAAAATTAAAAACTATTTTTATAAACGTCGTCAAACGTCAATCAAATCCGACATAACACCATAGACTACAACCACTTACAGACAGATTATAATAGAACTTGTTCGAAGAATCGAAAAAAAAATATTAAATAAATTCTTCACAAAAAAAAGTTCAAACCACCTGTTTATTTAATCCTAAAGGTTTAGCTAGGTTCATACTATTATAACTACGAGCACTACGAGTAGTAATGACGAATGTTAATCAAAGGCATGGGTGGGCGTGGGTGAAGTAGGTGATCGCTCATAGTGTGTATATTAAATGAAACAACAGTATTGGATTATAAATTTTTCTCCATTTATTATTTTTATAATATTTTAACATCCTTATACAAAGCTGAAATGATGCTTTAAGGAGCAAAAGTATATTCTAAATTATGAAATTAAAGGTAGAGTCCCTCCGGCGTGCCTTCTTTCTTACGGTACAATACACTCTCCTTAGATTTCTTGAAGTCTTCATTGGTGACTTTCATACGACGCTCACGAAGCGCCATTAAACCAGCTTCCGTGCATATCGCCTGAAGAAAACAATAAATATATTACTAAGGAATGAATTATAGGAATTTTATAACCCAAGCAAGCTTCATAAGATACTTGAAATCACAGAATTATACCACAAATATATACAAATGCTGCTTTAAAAACAAACATGTTACCTTTATATCCGCTCCAGAGAGATCATCTTTGGACATAATTAGCTCAGAAAGATTGACATCGTCGGCTAATGTCATCCTTGATGTATGTATAGTGAAGATTCTTCGCTTAGTCTTTTCATCAGGAAGTGGGAACTCTATCTTGCGGTCAATACGTCCAGGTCTGATTAAGGCTGGATCAAGAGTTTCTATTCGGTTTGTAGCCATTATGACCTACATAGAAATATTTATAGCATATACAAATCAAGAAGGTTATAAATGATATTAGCTCAAAACTGGATAAGTGAGAAATCCATAAGCAAGAAACTCGTGTCCGAGAAGTCTCTATAAACGAAAAAATATCGGGAGCCTTTGCTTATGTGCTTACCTTAACATCCCCACGGGAATCAAACCCATCTAGCTGGTTCAATAATTCCAACATAGTTCTTTGAATTTCTCTTTCACCTCCCGAGTTAGAATCGTAACTGTAAATTATAAAATTAATTTTTACTAAAAACAGAGGACTTACGCAACAAAATGTAAAAAACTTGTAAAAACTATACCGTTTTGTGCCAACCGCATCAATTTCGTCAATGAAAACAATTGATGGTGCATGTTCTTCTGCAACTCTGAATAACTCACGAACTAATTTGGGACCATCACCCTGTCAAAATCAGAATATTAAACTAAATGAAAACGGTTTCACAATGTTATAATTATTATTAGACTCCAAAATAAATAGCAAAGTAAAAAAAAATCGCAATTAGGTCCTTATACATTTGTCAAGGAAGTCATACTATGAACTATAACTAACTATGGAAATATAAAACAGATGCTTAAAGTACGCAGGAAATATCAAAATAATTTACCAAATACTTTTGGATGAGCTCAGAACCAACAACTCGTAGAAAAGTAGCGGATGTTTGATTAGCTACTGCTTTTGCCAAAAGTGTTTTTCCTGTTCCAGGAGGACCATAGAGAATAACACCTTTCGGGGGCTTGATACCCATCTCTTCATAATACTCAGGATGTGTAAGAGGTAGCTCAACCGATTCCTGCAATAGATTATTCATAACTTACAGATCCAATATTAAAAATTAACATCTAAATGTGAAAATGAACTAATTTAAACATAATAACAATAATTTCTTATTTTTATCCGACTTCAAAAAGGATATTATCAATTCATCTGTATGTTTTTAATGTGTTACCATGTAACTCTGCTCCTGGTGCTCCGATTTTTTTTTTATTATCAAACACTTTTGCTTGCACATGGGTCACATTTTTTTTTTTTCAGAAAATGCCTCTAATTTTAGACACAGATAGAAAAAGAATTAAATCATTTATAATTAAATTATATTTTTACTTTAACAGTGGTAGAGCCCGCTTTAACATCTTTGCACGAAATGGGCCGGTTCGCCCGGTGAAATACCACAACCACACAGAAGACAGGCGTGAAGTGGAAGCAATTCCTCGTTTCATCTGATGAGTGTGCACCCAGAGGCCTAATTTAGTCCGATTTCCCTTTCCATCTTTTTTTATAAGAAAAGAATGGGAAGTGGAAGTGGACTTTCCGGATGCATATATTTTCTTTTGTGCATCCTCTTCTCTGTCGATTAAAGGTAAGCAACGCATATGCAATTGCGTATGTCTATGAGCAATGGTCACTTCGCTATATCAGCGATTTCAGGTCACCGCTTGCTCGTTTGCCACCTTATGATATAAAATATATAAATAAAAATATATACCTTAATTTCCTGGATCTGGGTATCCAATCCACCAATATCAGCATATGTCTCTTGTGGTGCTTTTTCTAGTTTCATCACAGATACCATTGGATCTGTGTCATCACCCAATACACCCACTACAGCATGAACCTACAAAAATGTATTTAATTATAGACATGATTATTCTATTACTACAGTATTACAAATAGTAAGAATAAGTTGGAAGAAATAAGCTTCTAATCTTGACAAAAGAAATTTCTAAGTGCCACAACTGTTAACACATTGTATTAAAGACTTTACTTGCTTTTTAATAACTTTACTAATTATTATAAACATACTTTTAATTATTTTTATTAGAGAATACCTACCTTATGATTCAGTAGCACAGAGCAACCAGGCTCTAATTGGTCTTTGTCCACAAAGGACAGAATGCTGACATAATGTTCACTTCCTACTGATGTGGAAACTATAGCATGGTTATCATCAATGATCTCCTCCAAGTTACCAACAGACATTGGTGTTCCTCTGAGGTCATCAACCTGTTTGTATGAAATAAGAATATCAAGAACAAAATATTGTACCACATAGTAGACACTAGAATAAAACATAAAAAAGCCTTTACCTTAGACCTTTCTTCTTCAATTTTTTCCTCCTGCGGCTTCAACCTTTCCTGGTTACGAATAAATTCCTCTTCCATCAAAAGATAATCTTTGATTCGTTCCAATTTCAATAGCTTCAGTCTGCATTTTGTATGAGGCGTGACTTGGGGCAGTTTCAGAGCTGCATCAGGTCCCTTAGCTTTGCGCTTCTTTTTGCCCACTCTTGTAGGAATTGGGGGTTCATATTTCTTCTTCTTATCCTTGTCATCTTTCTTGTCTCCCCCACTTCCACCACCTGATTGATTTTGACCCTACAATAACATAAAAACAGGCGTAAATATAGAAATCATTATGCAGTATAATAGTTTCTTTATCCAAATTTTACCATCTTATTGTGTTTTAGGGCACTAAATTTATTATTTTAACTACAATAGGAAAATTAAAACAGTCACGGCAGCATCTGATTACAAAGCGAAAATTTTAACTTTTTAATAATAGTGATGCCCTTATATCTTATTACGCACAGCACAGTATTACTAAAAAAATCGATTTGGTTGTCAAATATTACCGATTTTTAGAAATGACAAAACTTTACGAATTGAATTATTAAATAAATATAGTGCTACTGCTACTTAATAAAGTAGAAAAAACAAATTTTAAGATGGAGTTGTGATGATGATTAATAATAAAAGGATGATTTCAACGATACTTAGTTTAATTTGCTTACAAAGAAACGCAAATAGTTTGACACTTCAACGTGTCGACCAGTTGACTGTAGACATAATTTTGTGCATTGCGAACATTTTGATGTACTGTTTTAAGACTATAATTGATCATTTTTAAATTTTTCTTTAATATTTCATTAGTGATTCTTGTAAAAAACTAAAATGGAGAAAAAATCATTCCAATTATTTTGTACGCTGTGAATTTGTGATACGAAAAGGGAACTGGGGAGAGATTTGTTATAAAAGTGCTTAATTTAAGTATTCAAAATGGTTTTAGCAGATTTAGGTCGTAAAATAACAACTGCTTTGCAGTCCCTAAGCAGAGCTACAATTATCAATGAAGAGGTAATAAGAAATTTTGTGAATACAAACTGGTGACAAGCAGACATTTGACATATGTTTAATGACTTTCATAATGTGTTTCAGGTTTTAAATTCTATGCTAAAGCAGATTTGTGCTGCCTTATTAGAAGCTGATGTAAATATTCGTTTGGTAAAAAATCTTAGAGAAAATGTTCGTGCTGTCATTGATTTCGATGAGATGGCTGGAGGGCTCAACAAACGGCGGATGATACAATCAGCTGTGTTCAAAGAACTTGTAAAAGTGAGTATCAAACACTTTAAATAATAATACCAACCCATCATTTTATGCTTATAGGTTAAGGGAAAAGAGCAATGGTTTTGAATTTCCAGTAATCAGAACCCCAAACGAATAAGAACTACTTACTATTATTTTAGTACTTAACTAACTTCTTTATGTAATACTCACCTAAAAACTAATACAATATTTTTTATTATAGTTGGTAGATCCTGGAGTAAAGCCATATCAGCCAGTGAAAGGGAAACCCAATATTATCATGTTTGTAGGGCTTCAAGGGTCTGGTAAAACCACAACTTGTACAAAACTTGCTTATCATTATCTAAGGAAAAATTGGAAATCATGTTTAGTTTGTGCCGACACATTCAGAGCAGGTGCTTATGATCAAGTGAAACAGAATTGTACCAAGGCAAGGATACCTTTCTATGGCAGGTTCGTAATAATGACATAATTTGGTCTGTCTCTGTCATTTAATTTCCCTGAATGTCCCAATTCAACAACTATCTTTCTTACTACAAGTTTTAAAAATTTTCATTATTTTTTTTTAGTTACACAGAAGTAGATCCTGTAGTAATAGCCTCAACAGGTGTAGAAATGTTCAAAAAAGAAGGTTTTGAAATGATTATAGTGGATACTAGTGGTCGTCACAAACAAGAGGAGTCTTTGTTCGAGGAGATGTTGGCGGTGGCAAATGCTATTGTAAGTTATATTAACATAGAAAATAATAGATGTCACTATGACACTCTCCTTGTAAAGTACAGCTATATTTTTCATCTTTTTTTAATATTTGTTATTTATTATTACCTGCAGAAACCTGATAACATAATTTTCGTGATGGATGCCACAATTGGACAGGCTTGTGAGTCTCAAGCCAGGGCTTTCAAAGACAAAGTCGACATTGGTTCTGTTATCATAACCAAGCTGGATGGACATGCCAAGGGTGGTGGTGCACTATCAGCGTATGTATTATTAAAGATTTCTTGTTAAATTTCTTTGTATATACAAGTTTTTGTGACCTCTTCTTTAACTGTAATTTTTGTACCCCATTATACCGTAAAAATTGGAATGTCTTATATCCACATCTTTGTGTCACAGGGTTGCAGCAACACAAAGTCCAATCATCTTTATTGGTACTGGTGAACACATTGATGACTTGGAACCATTCAAGACAAAGCCATTCATTAACAAATTGCTAGGTATGGGAGATATTGAAGGCCTCTTGGACAAAGTCAATGAACTTAAACTGGATGATAATGATGAATTGTTAGAAAAGCTGAAGCATGGTCAATTCACTTTAAGAGCTATGTACGAACAATTCCAAAATATTATGAAAATGGGCCCCTTCTCACAAATTATGGTAATGTTTATTATTGTATACTGTTATCCAAAATATCTTAGTTGTCATAAAATTTTAATCAAAAAGTATTTTTCAGGGAATGATACCAGGTTTATCCCAAGACCTTATGTCTAAAGGTAGTGAACAGGAATCTATGGCAAAACTAAAACGGCTCATGACAATCATGGATTCCATGAATGAAGGTGAACTGGACCATCGTGATGGCGCAAAACTTTTCTCCAAACAACCCACCAGAATTACAAGAGTAGCGCAAGGTGCAGGTGTTACAGAAAGAGATGTTAAAGACTTGATTGCTCAGTATACTAAATTTGCAGCGGTTGTTAAGAAAATGGGTGGTATCAAGGGTTTGTTCAAAGGAGGTGATATGGCGAAAAATGTTAATCAAACCCAAATGGCGAAGCTCAATCAACAAATGGCAAAGATGATGGATCCCCGCATACTGCAGCAAATGGGCGGTATGTCCGGTCTGCATAATGTTATGAGGCAACTTCAGCAAGGCTCCAGCGGAATGAACAGTTTGATGGGTGGAAAATAACAATAATTATTGGATACTGTGAATGCTAGCAATATAACATCATAGCATGTCAATAAACGTTGATTAAAAAATATGTTTTACTTTGTAGTAACATTTTTCAGTGTCGATTTATTTACATAATTTTTAATGTGTAAAAAGCAAATATGCGATATATAAAATGTGTTCAAATGGTCCATGATTTTTACTTAAACTGTAATGATTATAATTTAAAATTTCAATGAGAGTTTCATTACAAACATTTCTTAATTTCTTATTTATAAAAACTAAAAACCTTTTAAAAAGGAGTCCTTATGCTCTTGCTCTTATGTTCTTGCATTACCTTACACTGCCGTAATATTGAAAGTATCGCAAAATAATGTTTGGCCAGAAAGTAGACAACCAACCTAAATGTTTGCAAGAACGATTAATAAATAATTAAAAGAAAATTTAATTCTCTTTCAAAAAGGATTTATTTCTAGACTAGATAATAAAAAGATGCGTGTTTAGAAACAGTGACACTTAAAAATGAGATTTTGTGTCAGTCGATGTATGACAGTGACAGTAAGAATCAAAAATTTTTAAATGACATTAAAGCAACAATCATAAATATTATAAATCCAATCAAAAAAAATTAAACCACTTAAAAAGAGTCTTTGTCATATTCTTCAACAATTGCAAGCATTGACATCTTTTGTGTGATGTCTACCTGAATATTTTAGAATTAATCTATTGTTTTGCATTTTAAAAATAAAGAAATGGCTTGCAATTCTTGCTTTAAAGCCTTTTCTATATTTCGACAAGAAGTAAGTAAAAGAATTTGTTCACGTAATTACTTTAAGATGAATATAAATGATGGCTAATAAATTATTAAACACTTTTATCTTACAGAAAGGTTGCCCAAATTGTGGATTTAGCTTTTGTTCAAAATGTTTGAACTACAAAATGTTTGTAAAAAAATTGAACGAAGAAAGGAAGGTACCAACAATTAATCAATGATAATAATAAATATGTTAAAATCACTACTTATTTACTAAATTGTTTTGTAGGTTTGTCTTAAATGCTCACGTCTATCAATGAATAAACCAGATAAGGCACGTGTTATTCCTACTGATGCTTACAACAGGTAAAATTAAAAAGAATCTGCTATTTCCTGTCTATTGTTTCTGTTACTCCATTTGCAAAATATGAAATTAACATCTTAAATTTAATCACTATTATTTTGCCAGGAATGCTTTATCCAAAGACAATACAAGTACTTCTAAACAAAATGATAATGTTGAAACCAATAGGATTGATGAAGAAATTAAAGAAAGATTAAACAAATTAAAACAAACTGCTTCATCAAATACTGAAGTTAGTAATAAGGATATAGCAGAAAGATTACAGAAATTAAAGGAAGACTCTGTGAGTTCTAATGATGTTAAATTACACCCAAGTTTGACTACAGCAGGTGGTTCGTCTGTTACAGTGTTGAATGTCAAGGTATATACACATTTTAAACATAATTATGATTATTGTATAAAAATTTTATATTAACTATTAAAAAAAAATTATCTTTATAGTATACTGAAAGTAAATTTCTGATATACATTGTCCTAAAAAGTATTTTTAATTGTTTTTTTTTACTGTAAAACTTAATCAAATAATAGCAAATTTTTCTCCAATCTTGTAGAAGAAAAGAAGTGAACAAGAGGAAGTTAATGATTTACTGGTGGAGCTGGAGGAGAAATCTAAAATTGACACAAAATACAGTAAAGATTTTGAAAATAAACTTTCCGAAATTGAGATGAGACTGCAGAAATTAAGAAGTTCCAATACAAATACGGACATAGTTGAACAAACATTAAAAAGAAATATACCAGATAATGAACAAACAGCACCTAGCCAGATTTTAGGCAAGGTAAATCATTTTTGTGAGAATTCAATAACATTCCAATAAGAATAAAAAAAATATTTACATTTAATATAAGTAGTTGTTTTTGTATTGCCATTTATTTGGAAAGAGATCTTTTCAACAGATGAATCATTTTCTCTGCTTACAAGTTAACACATTTTATGTTTTGTTTTATTTGTTTACTTTACAGCCAATAAAAACTGAGCAAGAAGAACTTAATGATCTTTTGAAAGAACTAGAAGAGGAATCAAAAATTGAAGCTCAGTATTGTGATGATTTTGTAATGAAACTCAATGATCTTGAGAAGAGGTTAAATAACTTAAAAAAAACCCAACCGAGTACAGATGAAGATGTCCAAAAATTGAAAAATAATAACGATGAACAAACTGTCTTAAGGCAAATTCTTGAAAAGGTTACACAAATATACTCCATACCACTATAATTATAATAAATGACAGATAAATATTTAAAAAAATGTTGTTAATTATTGACTTTTTTTCAAAAAAGGTAACTACACTAAAATACTTTGATTTTTTTTTATTTTAGATACAAATGGATGTAAGCAACAAAGATACAGAAGGGATTTCTCCAGATTTAAATGACGAGTTGCCATTTTGTGAAATATGCAATGAGGATGCCAAAGTTCGTTGTAAGGGATGCAAATACTTGTTCTGTATAAGATGTTTCATTGAACATAAAGATGAAGATTGTAATGAATATGAAATTTATAATGCACCAAAATAGACTACACTTTGTATACCGTAACTTGTTATAATATTTAAAGCTTACATTGTATTTAATCCTGTTATACTATGTATAAAAGCGCTTATTGTAAATGTACCGATCTCGCTTATTTATACTTTTATTTTTAATATGTTAAATACAAATAAATATAATGCAATTTAATATTAATGTAAAAATCATGCTATTCTATATATTACAAATAACATAAACCAATTTTTGTTTTATTTTGTCTTGACGTTGAGATTAGATGTACTGGTAAATTTATTTTATGTTTTCATGGCAAAAGCACACTAGCCGTTTTAAGATTCCCTCCGGATTGCTCCGGATTGTCAAGCTTGGAAGCGGAAATCGAAATGCTTATCAAGGTTAAAAGAGTATTGCCACCCTAAAAAAAAGAAGAGTGGCAAAACAAGATAAACATGGTATTTATATACGGTTGGTTAGGAGGAATACCCTTAAAATATTACTTTTTCTCGTTTTGCTGAAGATATATAAACTACTCCCAGTAAATCGCAATTGGGGTTGAAAAGGATATATTTTTGGAAAGGAGCAAAATAATAAATATCGTAAATTCGAATAATTTTCACGAAAAATGTTTTACGGGTTTTAAAGTCATATTTAAATGCAACAAGCTACAAATTTTTCTAAATCAGGAACTTTCAGTTTTATTTGTGGCAATACTGTTCGATCGATAACTTGAACACTTTCTCTCTTACTCAATAAAGAATATTAAGTTAACTTTGCTTAAAAGATACGAAGAAATGTCTTGTAATTATTGTTATGGACCATTTCGTCTATTTCTGCGAGAAGTAAGTAATTAATAAATTAATTAAAATGTATTTTTGTTTATTTTTTAATTTTCTTCTACATGATAATTTTCCAGAAACGCTGTCCGAGTTGCGGCTTTAGTTATTGTGATAGATGTTTGAATAATAAAATCTTTGTAAAACAATTAAACGCAGAAAAAAAGGTAAGTGAAGTTATAAAATAATGTACTTTAATTTTCCTTTAACATGCTGGTTTATTATTTTCAGGTTTGTGTTAAATGTTCAAAATATAATTCATCGGGTGAAGTGCATTTGATACCACCTCCTGATTATTACAGGCAAGTTATGTTAAAATACATATTAAATCTATACTTGAAATATAAAAAATTATGACATTCATTTTATTAGTAAATTACTCATTTTTAATCATTTAATTTAAATAAAAAATTAATTTAACATGAATTTATATTTATTAATTATTTCAGGAAAATTCACCGTAGGAAAAAAGAATCTGAGTCTAAATCTTGCGAAAATAATAACGACACTAAAACACAACCAGACAATAAAAACAAAAAAAGACAGAATGTAAAAAGCTCCAATGTTTCTAATAAGAATGGAAATGCAGCAGATGAAAACTCACCAAGCACTTCTAATTATCATCAAAGAATAAATCAGTGTAGTTCTGAAAATGAATCTAACTCAGAGGTAAACTACATACATATACATAGATGGAGAAATGTAAATATATGAATGTATGCAAATAAATAGGAACTTATCAATTTGTCTGCATCAGTGTTCTCATTCAAGTATGGTTTGGGGGCCTTCAAGAATACAGTGAACAGGCACATACTAAATTGGCTTGTACCATTTTTTAATCACATGACTGTTAAGTGATGGTGTTCAATCCACCTGGGATTGGTCAAGTGCTAGTTTATCAGATATAAAAAAAATATTGTAATGTTTGTTTTGTAGAAATCAGAAGATGATGAGGACTTGTCAGAAGAGTCTGATGATGACTTTAATGATGAAGACATAGAAATGGAGAGGAGTTCAATTCTCGATCTCAAGATTACACACCCTCATTTATATGACACAAAAAATATTAAGAAAGAGACAAAATCAACAGATGAAATCCTAAGAGATGCTATTAAACAGGTAAGGTCAATGTTGTAGGAATTTTGATTATAAAAACTTTTGAAATTTAATGATAGCTTGGATTGTCTTCCTACAGTATCAAAACTCATTATATATCAATAAGAGTGATTAACATTAATTTTGAAATTAATAGATTGTTTAATATTTCAGTTACAAGAGGGCTTGGGTGATAAATTAGAAGCTTTCCGAAAAAGGCCTCCAAAGTGTACAATATGTTCTACCAAAGCTTTGGTAAGATGCAAAGGATGTGTGAGTACATTTTGCATGAGATGTTTTGATATGCATTCAGATGAGGTTTGTGTTGCATATGAAACTCTTGAGACACATGAAAATTAACTTTTAAATTGTGAATACTGTATTTATCTCTTTAGTAATATGTATGTTCGCTTATCTATTTAGGTAAGTGTAAATGTTTACTAATACTCATACTATATTGTTCAGAAGGCACAGATTTCTCCGTAAGTAAAGGATTGTCTATAGATCTTATTTAAAAAAATCTCATAAATATTTAATGTTTACTATGGATTTTACACTTTAAATATTCCTAAATATGTGAAAAATAAAAAACATGTTTTATTTCATTCTTGTTTTATTCTCAAACTCACCTATTAAACTTGGTATTAATTTTGCTAAATCATCAGGTGTTTGTTTGTATTCATTATCAATCCAAATGTCCTTTAATTTGTTTATAATAGGTCCATACATTTTACCCGGGGGCACTCCGTTATCTTTGAGGATTTTGCCATTAATCGGGAACCTTGGTACTTCCCATTTATTAAATAATTCCAAAAGATCTTCATCTCCTCTGTATTTTAACACCTCTTTAGTATAGTCTATGGCATCTTTTTGTTTCATTTTAGAATGCAAAACTAATTTTTCATATGGTCTGTAAATAAAAGGATAGTGCTATTGAAAATACCATCAGAAAAAGAAACTTGCAGAACAAAAATAAGGTATAAAACAATATTATCTAAGACCACATACCACCAAGCAAGTAAAAGAAAGAATAGATAAAAAAAAGAAAATCAATTTAAAACTTACAATAACCTTCTTGAATGATCTTTATCTCCTCTATGTTCAACAATGAAATATGCCATATCTCTGTCATAGCCAGAGAACTTGAGGCGGTTGTGGAGTACAGTGACTGCATCTATATTGTTAAGGAGTGCAGCCAAGTAACTCATTGGATGCAGACCCAAATGCTTACTTCTATTTAGAACTTTATTTAATTCATCTATGTTTGGATCTGGAATACCTGATAAATAGCATTTAATTTTAATACTAAGTAACATAAAATTCTGCATGGTAAAAATTGAGAAATTTTATAAACCTGAATTTTCCTTGGTACATCAAAAATCTAAATAGCTCATTGAATGGAGAAAGTAGGCTGTGTTGTTTATTCTATTAATGCCTGGTTTACATCATGCCAGTACAGTAGGACAAAAGCACTAGCATGTTTGGACAGTTTTAGCTCACTGATGCCAAATAGTGTTTATTATGTCAGTGCCGATTTTGGGCACTAATGTATCATTGCATTGGAATAATGTGAACTAGGTATAACAGTTTGTTAAATTCTCAGGGCAAATAATTTTATGCAATAAACAATACTCACCAATGTATTTGCCGATACCAACATTCAACATTGTTTTTAATAAGTCACCAGCAAAATTGCCTTGTAAAGTTTTCTTAAGCTCCATCCATATTCTTTCCCCAGAGATATTTTCCAAGCCCATTACATTCTTCTTGATGATGTCAAGTGTTTTGTTATCATGATTATCTGGCGTTTCTGCTATCCGTCCATAAAATCTAAAATATCTCATAATTCTGAGATAGTCTTCTTTGATTCTTACGTCAGCATCACCAACAAACGCAACTCTTCTCTTTTTTAGATCATCATAACCAAAGAAGTAATCATAAACACTTCCATCAAAACCTTAAAGAAAAGCTTAAGTTGAGTAAGTTTATTACAAATTGAAGAAAACCTTGTTTTAATATTAATAGATATAATTATGTAAATAGTAGAAGAATTACCTAGAAACATTGAATTTATGGTAAGATCTCTCCTATTAGCATCTAGTTTCCAATCTTTGGTAAACTCAACTTCTGCATGTCTACCATCTGTTATCATGTCTATTCGTAATGTGGTTATTTCAAAGTTTTCTTTGTCATTGATCCTTGGAGTGATAGTGCCATGCTTCTCACCGCTCATGTTAATCATTCGTATATTTTCTTTATCAAACATAGTCTTCAGCTCTTCTGGAGTTGCTGTGGTAGCAAAATCAAGATCCTTTGGTGTTATTCCCATTAACAAGTCTCTGAAATATTAACAAGAAATTTTGAGATTTTTAATCAGAGTTTTGAAATAAATTTTTATAAGGAAATATATATAAGGGTAATTTATAAATAAAAAAATTATTTACCTTACTGCACCACCAGCTATTCGAAGTTCATACTGGTATTTTTCAAACAATTTTTTCAGATCTAGAACTTCATCTGTGAATAAACTTTTAAATTCAGGTGTATCGAGTTGAGTTACAACGGGATTTTCTCTACATTTTAATTCCATGTCAGTTTTTGAACGGTACCTTTTTGTTCGTAATATTTTAGCTGGACTATAATTCTGCAAAATAAAACCTGCCGTCATGACCAATTTTAATAAACATGTAAAATAATTGTAAATAAAATAATTACCGCTACTTGGACTAACTTCAATATGTTAAACGTTCTCGAATACAATGTATTCATTACTATAAATTAGCTAAAATCATATTTTTTTTAAAGTCTGCATGTGAAAATCGAATGTTAAATATATCAAGACTTCAAGAGGCAAAAGCACTGTTTAATTTAAATAATTTCAACACTGATGTGTTCTGTACATTATCATAACCTCACTTTACACTGTAAATGACAGCCTGAAGTTTTTGAATGTCGGTGTCATTTTTTTGACAAATGCAAGGCGGTTTTTTAAAATCTTTTATTAGGATAGCCATCAGAACATTTTTGGTGTTTAATACTTTGATATCATTTCTAATACCGTCACTTCATTTTGTATCAATAAAATAGCGCTTCACATTAGACGTTCACTTAAGCTACGATTAGAGACAACTTCTTATTAAGATTGAACTAATTTATTCTTGTTTGAAAACTTTTCAAGTTCATGCCGAAAAAAAATTAAGTTGGATACAAGTGAATAACTTTATTTACATTATAACTTATCTATAAAAGAATGATAATTGGTTATTTATGATGTTTTATTATTGAAAAGTTACCTTATGTCTCAGATGTTTCATTTATGAAAGCATTTCTCATCTTTTATAATATACATGGAAATAGTAATAGTAACTTAAAAGTTATTATATACTTCTTAATCCTTCTGATGTTATTATAAATTCAGTGGATGCATTGTGTAAATCTGGTGCAAAGACTACACGGAGCTCTCTGACAGTGTTGTTACTTTGAATACCTTTTTGTAGCAAAATAGCATTGCTTATGTCTTCTGATTGTTTCTGCAACCATAGTCTATATGTCACCAAGTTAGACCAAGCCAATCCAAGAGATGGTAAAACATTCAAACTTCCTTCAAATGATGCTGTCACTTGGTTTATGCAAATAACAGCAAAGTTATATTTTTGAGCTAAAGCTAGTAACATAACCGCTATCTCTCTTAAATCTTCAGCTCGCTTCATATAATTTGTACCCTCACATCTAAAAGGTGCAGCAATAGAATCAATTATAAGTGCAGACAGTTCATTTTGTTCCAGAAGCTTTGGTAATCTGACTTTAATGCAAGAAAACAGTTCATGTGGCTCAGTGAGATGTTCCACAAATATAAGTTTACAATGGTCATTAACAATTGAAAAAGAATCTGTAATTTGTTTTAATCTCTTTACAGGAAATATGTCTTCAGTGCAGATATATACACTTTTATTGGGCCAACTATTTGCTGCTGTTGTTAATCCTATTTGAGTTTTACCAGATCCACTTTCACCATATAGTTCTGTTATAGTACCAGCAGCAAAACCACCAAATAATAGATTATCAATATTGTTACAACCAGTTGATATTTTCTTAAATTTTGGAAGTTCAATTAACTTATCACATGTAATACAAGGTGGTTTATAGTAATTAGAAATGGCATCTTTTAAATAGGCAATATCATCTGCTGTTAAGTTTGTAACTTTCTTTAAATCTAAAACTGAGAGTGTGAGTAACTTAAGTGTTCCTATTCCCGCCTTTTCGATTTTTTCAAACATATTAGGAGGAAGAAAGCTTTGCAAGGTATCCATTTGGACTTGAAATTTGCTGAATGCCGCTAAAAGCTTGACATGTACACCTTAAGTTTTAAATAACAAATTTAATTGTAGTAAAATTTCAAACGGAATGATGAAAAATACATATAAATACTGATTTCATTTTCGTTCAAACATTTACTTTCGTTGAGATATATGTACCCTATTATACTTGATCCATATAATATTTGTTAGTCACTTATTTTTTACTTTATATGTACTTTTGCATATTTGTTTACTGAAATCAAATTCAAATTAAAATGGCAATGACACTGTCAAGAAATTAAAGAAGAAAAGAATCTAAGAGTAGGTAGTGCCACCTTCATGTTTAGAAAATAGCGCCTGATATTTTATTTTGCAAATACTTTGTTTTTACATTTAGTTTATTAAAATATGAGAAATTGAAATCTTAATTATTTTAAACTATTTTTTTGAATTATCTACCAAAAAAGATAAAATGTCTTTGTTTACTATTTGAAACTAATTTCAAATGTCAAAAGTTTTCAATTTGTGGGAATTTGGATGTCATAATTGTTGTTATTTTATATTTGTATAAAGTTAATAAGTGATAAACGCAATTATAATTATTTAAGTTGTATCTGAAACATGTCATGGAGCAAAACTTTGTACAATACGGGTCGTTCGATAGCGATACACTTTCACCCCACTGCCTTGAGTCGAATTGCGCGAACACAAATCAATGACACACAGTCTGTAACGATCACAGTACGAGCCGGTTTTACCAGTGCGCCTAAGAGGAAAATGGTAAGTAGATATTATTTTTTTAACGTTGTTTTGTCACCATGATTCCATATGATTTTACCAAGAATATTTTTTAAATTCCTATTAACTGCGTAGGTTATTATAACAGTGCCTGGACACTTGTTTCAAAATATTTTAATTTCCTTTTAAGTGCTTCATAGCTTTTATTTATTTTGTTCGAATGTTTATTCCATGATATAAAAAATAGACATGTTATATTTTTTAGGCTGATAAACTTAATTCTGAAGAGCGCAATGGGCTCCTACAGCCTTTAATTCAATCAGGGTGGAAGGTCCAAAGCAATCGTGATGCAATTGAAAAAGAATTTAAGTTCAAGGACTTCAATGAAGCATTTGGTTTTATGTCAAGAGTAGCATTGTTAGCTGAAAAAATGGACCACCATCCGGAATGGTTTAATGTATACAACAAAGTTCAGGTATTTACATTTTTTTTTTTTAAATATTCATCTAAGTGTCCATTGATATTTAAAAACAATCTTAACATTTATTAATGACAATTAATTTTTTTTCATGTAATTTATAAATAAAATAATAGAATTCAAATATATCTGACTGGAATAAATGTTGGATGATATATTTACACTATTAAAGTTTTCCTTCCTTATATATTAGTATTGACATATTAAATATCAGTCCCGTTTTTTTTATTAGGTGACACTGTCTTCCCATGATGTGAATGGCCTTAGCAAGAGAGACATAAGGATGGCTACCTTTATGGAAAAACTTATTAACTAAAGGTAAAAAAAACAAGCATAAAGTCGATATTGTGATGTTACTTTTATTAGTTTATAAAGTGATTTTTTTGAAGTTGTCATGTATAAATATTTTGTTTAGTTTTAAGATAAGTGTATGTGAATGACAAAATAAAATATTTGAAAATAATCTATTGTTTCGTGAATGTAGGATAGGAAATAATAGTAAAAATGTTATTTCTTTAAGTAACATGGACACATGTGTTTGTCATTGAGGGGTTCAGTTTCAAAAATAGCAGTTTTTGGGTAAGCTTTTTCAATCATTCTTTTAAGCTGTATGGCATGCTGCAGATCTCTTGATTGGCAGACAATTTTGACCTGTGAAATAAATATTTTGAATTTATGTAATTTTCCATTTATTAATAGTTTTATCTTGCAAATAAAGATACAGATCAATAGCATAGAATATAGCAAAGCATAGACCTTATTTGGTACTAGAAATATTAGTAAATTAACAAAAATCTGCTTATATTTTTATTAAAAAAGAATAGAATTTTTTCCTCTAATTTGAAAAAACACAAAAAATGACTTACCAAGCAGTATTCATTCTTATACATATACGATTAAGGTTCAATTTTATGTTCACAAAATCTTACCTCAACATAGTGTATTTCATCTTCAACCCAAATGTGATCCATAAATTGACGTATTACATTGTATCCGCCTTCTGAGAGGAGTTTATGGAGTTCAGCCATTGCAGCCGAATCAGCTCTAATTCCGACCTGTTGAAGCAAAATAATACATTTTATTTTTTAATATTTAGTATATAGAGAAATAAAAATAAATAAATAATTTTTTGGCGGGAAACAATCGATCGGCGCAACAATAAATACCCGAAACGAAATAGTTTTCGGGACAATGTCTTATTGTCTAACAATTTAAACGGTGTCGAGGTTAATACAGCGCTAGCTTGATGAGAATAAAAATTATGTTTTCGACCTTGACTTGAAAAGCAGTAGCTGTGGTAAGCGTTAGCGAATTAGATTCAACTGAAGTGCAATAACAATTAGCTCTATGGCCTATACTTCAGCGATTTTTTTTAATTGTAGACGAAGCAAAAAGACGATTATTTTTACTTTAGGCAGGTTCCTATGGCGCCCAAAATGCGCTTTTGCTTACCATGGCATCTTTGCCAGATATTTAGACTTTTAACATTAGTTCGTCGTTGACATGATTGGAACTAGCCATTATACCTTAAATTTGATCATTCGGCCCAAAGATGCGAGTCCTCTCTCTAAGGAACGGTTCAACAAAGTTGCGTCAATGTTGCCCCCGCTCAAGATACACACCACACTGGATAAAACAAATTATTAGTTCATTTAATAAAGCTATTAAGAGCCTATTTCAAAATATCAAATATCTGAAGTTAAGGGAGCGTACCCGAACTACGTGACCCGTTTAGGAGGGGGGGGGGCGGAGTCTTTAAATACTACGGTCAGTCACAGGAGTTGGGTAATTTAAGTATGCATGTAGTCTTAAAAAAACTTAGAGAAAACTAAAATATAGGTCACGTAGTATGGGTATGTTCCCTAAGCTTGGAACCCACTTATTGATACATACAACATATGTGAAAAATGTACGTATTTTATTCGGTAAATTCCATTGTATTCTTCATTGTAAAATGAGCACAATTTATACATCATATTTTTTGTATATCAGCCTGGCCGTGCGATAATGAATTATTTATATAATTTAATATTAAAATAATAATTTCAATGTCAAACTACGGGTATAAAAATAATCTGAGTTCAGTCTTAACAATAGCAACAATCTCAAATATATAAACTGTTTTGTAGACTTTTTTTTATTATGATTAATATCGATAGTGGTACACTATTGAGCTGAAATATAATTTAGTTAAAATAGTAAAATTAAATACGTTTTAGTCTTCAGTTCTGGGACAAGGCTGTTTAGTATTGGGGCTACAGCACATGCGGCAGCACCTTCGATCACAAAACGCTCTTTTTCTACAACATACAAAATAGAACGAGCGATCCAGTCCTCTTTTAGCAATATCTGTAATTTTAAATTTAAGTTTTAAATCAAAAGTTATGAACTTAACCTTGAGTGCTATTTCCGAGTTTTTAAATAATAATTATAAAAGTTAAATTAGATTAATTATTTAGAAATAGGATATCCAATATATTTAATAGAAGTCGTTAATTTAATTAATCTAACCATTCTATCAACGAGGGGCAGTGCGTTGTAGAATGCGTTGACACCGACATAAGGCATCGCAATGCCGTCCGCCAGAGAATGCTGCATTGGTTTGGTCACAGGCTGACCTTTTTCCAGTGACTCGAAGAACGTGGGGATCACTTCTGACTGAGCACCCTGTGGTATTATAAAAAAATGGAAAGATTACTAAAAGAGAAAAGGCGACAAGTTTTACATCAACAGTATGTTTGTCAAGTTTTTGGAGCGAAATGTTTTTCTACGTAGATGGTTATTTCAAAGATAACACCTAATTTTTGTTACTCTACAGTCCAGAGAATAAATGATAACGGTGGGTTTATAACTCCGTGTCTTTTGGTTTGTTTTTTTCGTATATTTTTGCCTAATGTGTATTTGAAATATTTTCCAGTTACTGACATAAACTAGGCAGCTGGGCTTGATGTGTTTGATGACAGTGGCAACGGCGGCGATGAGGCCGCCCGTGCCCACTGGCACCAGAACGGCGTCCACGTTCGGCACCTGCTCCATGATCTCCAGCGCCACGCCCCCGTATCCCGTCAGTACGTCTGGGTGGTCGCGACTGTAACATACACAGATACGTTACTCTAATAATTATCTTATATTCCAATTATTAGAAGCCTAACTGCAGCATTACAAGCCATTTAATTCGTCGTCACAAAGTCGTTTATTTTAGATTTCTCTAACTAAATCCACACTAAGGTACTTTTTTTTTTTAGATCATTTAACGATTTTAAAACGGAGCATTTTGGTAGTATGCTTTGAGGTATTATATAACTAATCGTAATAATTTCCTACCCATTAATATATGAAAGTCCCTTATCTCGTGCAATAAAGCGCGCATGTTTTTGTGCCTCCTGTAAGTCATTGCCCTCCACTATCACTTTGGCGCCTAAATTTTTGCATAGCTGTAGCTTTATGAGCGGTACGTTGTCTGGCATCACGACCACCACAGGTATGCCCAGTAAGCGCGCGCAGTGGCACAGTCCAATTGCTTGGTTACCCAGCGAAGCCAATACAACGCCAATCTTTTTCTTATCCCGAGGCAATTTTTGTAATGCATTCAGTGCACCCCTTTCCTTGAAACTGAAATTTATAACTTTGTTAATACGAGGGTAACCTTAAATTATTCTAGCACAGAACAATGTCAGTGGTGGGGAATGAAGTGACCGATTATTACAATTTTTTAATTATCATATTGCAAAAATTATTGTCAATAGGTCTGAGAATATTAACAATAATATTGCCTACATATTGCAATATAACATCTGTTTTTGTTACCCACCATATTAAATTCCCACTGTTTACTTACCTTCCCGTTCTATGAACCGTTTCGAGCTTGTAATAAAAATTGATCCCAAAATCATTTCGTGTTTGTGAAAGCTGTGGAAACAAAAGAATTTTAAGCAATTTATCGAGCAAGCAGCCACCTAAATTCGTCAAAATAATAGTGATGTGACTGCCGCTTATAGAGATCTAATCGATAAAGGAGGGGAATATAATAAGTAGATCATTTTTCATAGGATTATTTGTATTGTATAAATCAGAAC